GATGTAGTTTCGTGATTTACAGGTTTTTTTTTTTTTTTTTACAGGCTACAGTACTGAATATAATAGCAATAAAAAAATATAATTGAGTTTCATTGTAAAAAAAAAAAAAGGCCAATGCCCAATGGTACTGGACCTGCATTGCAGGGCTTAGCTCATATAATAATGAAGGTGGGAAACAACAAGAGCATGAACAAGCATTTTGGTTTTGTTCTGAATGAGAAAGGGATGAACGGCAAAATGTTTTTAAGGTGACAGCGGCAGGGTTTGGTGACAGATTTTATGTAAGGTATGAAGGAAAAGTCAGAGTCAAAGAGCGCACCAAGACAATGTTCCTGCCAGGTAGAGTTATGATAGCTCTGCTAACCTGAAGGATAACATTGACAGATGTAGTCTTAGAGGTTGAGATTTTGGAATCATGACATCATCCAGCCAGAGACAGAGGATAGGCAGTTGGTGCACGATCCAACAGATGGGGAAAAAGATGAGGTTAGGTGGATCTGGGTATCATCAGCGTATAGGTGATATTGCAAAGCCAAAAGATGAAGCAGTATAAATTGAAAAAAGTAGACCAACAACAAACTTTACAGATATTTACAGAACAGGCTTATAGATAGACTTTAGTGCTTAAGTGTTATTAAATATGGAATAAATGTTTTTAGTGAGCATTTGCAGTAAGCTTTAATTTTCCTCTTTACCATCTAGAATGGGAATCTGGCTATACTGACAGCGTTATTCACTAACTTCTGAATTAAAAATCTGGACATTAGTCGCATTATTTAACAATCTCTAGATTTTGCTAACCAGACTCTGCATAAGCCTAAAATTTTCACCCATATTCAGCCAGACCAGAGGGCTGAAATTCCGACCCGGACTGTTAAAATCCATGTCCAGATGCTTCAAATCTGGATTCAGATTTTGAAAATCTGAACTATTAGGCAGAGCTACCAGATAGTATTCAAATAGTTAAAAGACTCTCTGTAGCAAAAGGTTTAATCTGGATGGACAACAGCAATCTCCTAATCATCTAGTCTTATCTGGACACATACACTATTTTCCTATGTTACCTTTTTTGGCCCAGTAAAATTGGCTATTCATTTTTCTGAACAGACCCTATCTGACATCTCTTCAGACTTTCTTCGACTTTAGAAACTCATACGGCTACCTACATATCAAGAGATGTATATGAAATTTTTTCAATATGCATATTAATGTCTCTGAAACCTCAATATACGCTCAGTCTGAGGGATCCTCCAAACTGTCCGAAATGCAGGGAGGAAGAGTTGGATCTATACCATAATTTTTGGTCCTAGCTTTAAAAAACACTATAGGGTCAGGAATACAAATATGTATTCCTGACCCTATAGTGAAAACCCACCATTTAGGTGGCTTGCCCCCCTCTTAGTCCTCTCAGAATGGGTTAAAACTCATCTTATTTTGAGCTCTCCACAGGTCCGCCGGCACTGGCCCTGCCTCCTTGGTAACATAATCAGAATTGCAGATTTTTAGCCAAATTCATTAAACATGGAGATGCTGAACGGCAGAGTGCAGAGTGCTACTGTGCAGCACTGAGCCAGGAGCCCCTCCAGTGGCCATCTGAGGAGTGGTCACTTGGAGGTGTCCCTAGGGGCAATGTAAACACTGCCTTTTCTCTGAAAAGCCATTGTTTTCATGACAATGCCTGAAGGCAATGATTGTACTCACCAGAACAACTACATTAAGCTGTAGTTGTTCTGGTGACTATAGTGTCCCTTTAAGGTGAGCCATTTTTTTGAGATATCAAATCTTACTTGGCTGCTGTTACTCATGTTGTGATCACTTTAACTCTTTAGATATGGTGATACGGGGCATTACACCAACTTCTTTTAAACCCCGCTCTAATTTTATACATATCTTCCTAGTTAGAGCCATGAAATCTATTCTACAGAAATGGAGCCTACTAGAAGTTCCAAAACTAGATTTAATGAAATCTCAATTTTATTATGCCTTCTACGTGGACTGTAGTCAATGTCACAGAAAGATTAAAAAACTGAAATTTTTTCCAAACCTGTTAAACCTATAAAAATATACTGGTAGTAGACATCTGAGGAACAATAAAAAAAACTCTTTAAACACACAAATTGTTATTAACATTATTAGTTTTATATTATGTAAAAGAAGTTCTAATTTTACCTCAGAATATTGAGTTTTGGGGGAGGGTTGAGGATATTGCAGATATTTATCTTTCATATTAAGTGAGGCTCTGTTCTACATGTAACAACATAACTCCTGTCATACAATCATCAGTCAATAAAAATTGTTTGTATCTAAATGGGGGGGATCTAGGATCTAGCATCCCTCCAGACCCCAGGTCAAGATGGTCAGTCAAGCCTCCAGCCTCCAGCCCTCAATGAAAAAAATTCTACCTACCTCCTTTACAATGGTAAATCTCAAAATAGTGAACTTGCCTGTCAGATTGCTCTGACTGGTTACCCTATAAAGGCTTATCCCGCTGTAACCGTGGCTGGTTCCCTTATTTACCACTATAATGTCTTAATGCATAGAACTTATTAGGGCTAACCATACAGATATCTTAGCCATAATTTTATATAGTGTAAGAGATCCTCTATTTAACATATCTAAATAATTGAGAATACAATATAAAATAAGGATTGTCTTGGAAGCAATAGTTTTGTCTTTTGGATATTTATTATATAAAAATATAAAATCCATTATAGCAGAATTTATAAGATTAAATTACATGCTTGCAAATATCATTAATAGGTTAACATACCCTTCTGAACATGTCATCATGTCAGCCTCTCTGTCATTTTAAGATGGAGCAGCGTCTGTCTCCAAGTCTCTTCTCTGTATCTTAACATTTAAAAGTACACCTATTTATACCTTAGGTGTCTCCATATTAGGTTACCGTAGTTTAAATATGAAAAAGTAACACTTCTTTTACTTTATTCAATTTAGGACCTCCCTTAATTTGGCAAACATACAAGGCCATAACTAAAGGGTGCAAACGTCATGGAAATTTTTCTGACTTAATTCAAGATGGCATCTTAAAGTCTGAATAGGTTATCTGTTGTTTATACTAAGTCGTAAGTGTACAGTCGTGGGAGATTCCCAGATTTGGGGAAGTTCCATTAACTTGGGGTTACCACAGTATATTGTGTACTGCAAGTGTCGTAGTATAGCCTTGAAGCTTGTTTATGCATTATTGTTATTGTAATTCGTCTGGGACAAAATGGCGCAAACATATTATGCACTGAAAACAAATAACAAATAGGTGAGAGCACACAATAAAAATAATAAAATAGTACCCACTCTGTAGTCAATTGATCTGGAAAACAACCAAATAGACAAACATAAAGTAGTATAGTCTAATAAAGAATATATGCAATGGATATAAATCACACTCATATAAGTAGAGCCACTTAAAAAGCTGGCTCAAACTAGATGCCTTGAATATATAAACAGGGACCTCCACTGGGAACTTTCTTCCTCTTTAAATGTAGGACCTCCAGGACGCAAGACAACTGGGGGTAAAACAAGCTTTTATTCTTCAAATCTTGAAGTAAATTAAAACCATACATCAAAGGGTAAAATAAAAAGTCCCTTAACGCGTTTCGGCTATTGCCTTCATCCGAAGTGATATCCAATTCAAGGCATCTTGGTTTAAATAGTTAAAATTGGCGCCCATTCTTTTCCCGTTCTAATTGCGGCTTCCTACTTCCGGTTTCGCGCAATTAGAACGGGAAAAGAATGGGCGCCAATTTTAAATAAAAAGTATACAAACATAGCCAGGATTCAGCTGTAAGCATTTGCAACACTTTCAACAATCAAGTAACATACATTCATATAAAATGTAAGTTACTTGGCCAGTCAATGTAATGACAGGAATGAATAAGTAGATAACTCCCTAATTCCCACGGTATTACAGAGCTATCTGCTAAAAGGCTGAAAGACCTAAATTGGTCTTTCAGCCAAATTTACTAATACTAAGTACAGATTACTTAGTATTAGTAAATTATGCCCCTACTCGCTATACCGCTAGTAGGGGCATGTCTATTAAACAGTGAGCAGCCAGTGGCTGCTCACTGTTAAAAAAAAAAAAAGGTCCCCCCTCCCGAGCCCCCCCTTATTAGTATTTAGGGCCCCCACCCACCGCTCAGGGGTGGGGGCCAGGGGGGAGGTCCTTAGGGCCCCCACCCCCCACTCAGGGGGGAGGACATTAGGTCCCCCCCTTATTAGTATTTAGGGCCCCCACCCACCACTCAGGGGTGGGGGCCAGGGGGGAGGACATTAGGTCACCCCCCTTATTCCAATTTAGAAACCCCACCCACCGCTTAGGGGTGGGGGCCAGGGGGGAGTACATTAGGTCCCCCCCTTATTAGTATTTAGGGCCTCCACCCACCACTCAGGGGTGGGGGCCAGGGGGAGGACATTAGGCCCCCCTTATTTTACTGTAGGGCCCCCACCCACCACTCAGGGGTGCAGGTCAGGGGTGAGGACATTAGGTCCCCCCTTATTATAATTTAGGGCCCCCACCCACAGCTCAGGGTGGGAGACAGGGGGAGGACATTAGGTCACCCCCTTATTAGTATTTAGGGCCCCCACCCACCGCTCAGGAGTGGGGGCCAGGGGGAGGACATTAGGTCCCCCCCTTATTAGTATTTAGGGCCCTCACCCGCTACACAGGGGTGGGGGCCAAGGGGGAGGACATTAGGTCCCCCCCTTATTCCAATTTAGGGCCCCCATCTGCCGCTCAGGGGTGGGGCCCAGGGGGAGGACATTAGGTCCCCCCCTTATTAGTATTTAGGGCCCCCACCCACCACGCTGAGGGGTGGGGGCCAGGGGGGAGGACAATAGGTAATTTAGAAAAAAACTGAATGGCTGCGTCTCAAATGCGCCCCTTCAACATCCACATATACCTGGCAAAGGTACATACAGGGGTATTGCTGTACTCAGCCGACATAGCTGAGCAACATATGAAGTATTATACAGTCATAGCACACATAAGGTTTGCAAAATATGCTGCGCAAACTCACTTTGTATGTCAAAAAGGCAGAAAAAATGCTTATTACCACTACACTTGGTACAAGCTAGCGGAAAAATGATCCCACGCTAAGGTTCAAAATATGCCTTTTGAAATACCCTGGGATGTCTTCTTTAAGAAATGGTATGGCTTTATGGGGAATTTGGATTATATAGCCTGGTAAAATACTCTAAAATGGGACATAGGCACAGCATAAAAATTCAAAGTTTGAAAAAAACTGGAATGGCTGTGTCCCAAATGTGCCCCTCCGATGTCCACACATACCTGGCAAAGGTACATACGGGGGTATTGCTGTACTCAGCCGACATAGCTGAGCAACATATGAAGTATTATACAGTCGTAGCACACATAAGGTTTGCAAAATATACTGTGCAAACTCACTTTGTATGTCAAAAAGGCAGAAAAAACGCTTATTACCACTACATCTGGTACAAGCTAGCGGAAAAATGATCCCACGCTAAGGTTCAAACTATACCTTTTGAAACACCCTGGGGTGTCTACTTTAAGAAATGGTAGGCCTTTGTGGGGTAGTTTGAATTTAAAACCTGCGAAGATGCTTGGAAATTGCACATAGGCCCAGCGTCAAAATTCAAAGTTTGGTAAAAACGGATATGGCTTGGTCTCCTATATGGCACTGTAGCTTCACAAAATAGTGCCAAAGACATTCATTGGGGGTGTATTTTTACTCAAAAGACTTAGCTGAGCATAATTTGGGAGGTTTGAACTTAGTGGCACATATGAAATATACAAAACGCCCAGCAAAAATGCAATCCGTATGTAAAAAATGCACAAAATTATTTTTTACCACATACTTTGGCATATATTGGTGAAAAAATGGGGGTATGTTAAGGCACAATATGCACCTTATGAGATACCCTGGAGTGTCTACTTTTACAAATGGTAGGCCTTTGTGGGGTTTTTTTTGAACAGTCAAACTGTTATAATACCCCAAATGGAAGCTAAGGCTCATTAATACATCTCTCAAAATTCTACTGTGAGTACTGTAAAGGACAGGTCTCCTATATGGCACTGTAGCTTCACGAAATAGTGCCAAAGACATTCATATGGGGTGTCATTTTACTCAGAAGACTTAGCTGAGCATAATTTGGGGGGTTTGAACTTAGTGGCACATATGAAATATACAAAATGCCCAGCAAAAATGCAATCCGTATGTAAAAAATGCACAAAATTATTTTTTACCACATACTTTGGCATATATTGGTGAAAAAATAGGGGCATGTTAAGGCACAATATGCACCTTATAAGATACCCTGGAGTGTCTACTTTTACAAATGGTAGGCCTTTGTGGGGTTTTTTTGAACAGTCAAACTGTTATAATACCCCAAATGGAAGCTAAGGCTCATTAAATCCATCTCTCAAAATTCTACTGAAAAGGACAGGTATCCTGTATGGCACTGTAACTTCACGAAATAGTGCAAAAGACATACAATGGGGGTGTCATTTTACTCAGCAGATGTAACTGAACACAAAATAAAACTTTGTACAGGAATAGCACACACCAACTTTACAAAATATACACGAGAATTTCTCTGTTATAAGTTTGTGTGCCAAAAACCAAAAAGAACACAATTTTACTCCAATATTTAGCAGAGGTTGGCGGTGAAATGGCTACGTAGAAAGTGTCAAAACAACCTTAGGTAAATAGCCCGTGATGTCTACTTTATATAAATATATACTTTTGTGTGGCAATTTTGTTTTCTTTTATGGCTATTAAGCTTACAAGACAAACATACCAAATTCTAAAATCGCTCCACATTAAAAGTCTATTTTACTCCTTGTGCTTTGTGACCTGTAACTACCAAAAAAAAACTTAAAATCCCAGACACATTATATATTCTGTAAATCAAAACAACTAAATGAATTTATTTTTAATAACTTTTTTTAACCTGCACTAATTATGCACACATTGTTATTGCAAAAACTGTAAAAAAAAAGACAAAATTTTCACTTTTTTTACATTTTTCTGTATTTTTTTATAATAAATAAGCATTTATATATATATGTGTGTTACATCAAATTAAAGCCCTTTCTGTCCTTTGAAAAACGATGTATAATATGTGTTGGTGCAACAAATTAGTAAAATGCAAATTGCAGTTGAACGCAAACAGCAAAAAATGAAAAAAATGCCGTTGTCATTAAGTGAAAGACAAGCTTTTGAAGCTCTGTCCTTAAGGGGATAAACCTATAAAGTGTTTTGAAACTTACTGTGCATAATAATTTGGAACAGTGCATTGTAAGTTCTTTATGTTTAAAAAAAATACTGTTATCATTAGGAGGTTTGTTCAATAAAATATGAATTGTACTCTTAATAGTTGATAACATGAGAATTATGCTGACTGTTATTTACATCAAATATTTAGGTAAATGAGAAAAATATGATTTGCATTATAATTTGGAACAGAGTGTAGACTAAGCTGACCTCTCTGCAGGGTTGTTTCAGGTTGTCCAATGCCGCTTTCAGGGACATATTTGCTAAACTCCTGATGGAGATCCGGCAGCACTTACGGAGGCCATTAGATATGGCTTGGTCTCCTATATGGCACTGTAGCTTCACGAAATAGTGCCAAAGACATTCATTGGGGGTGTCTTTTTACTCAAAAGACTTAGCTGAGCATAATTTGGGAGGTTTGAACTTAGTGGCACATATGAAATATACAAAACGCCCAGCAAAAATGCAATCCGTATGTAAAAAATGCACAAAATAATTTTTTTACCACATACTTTGGCATATATTGGTGAAAAAATGGGGGTATGTTAAGGCACAATATGCACCTTATGAGATACCCTGGAGTGTCTACTTTTACAAATGGTAGGCCTTTGTGGGTTTTTTTGAACAGTCAAACTGTTATAATACCCCAAATGGAAGCTAAGGCTCATTAAATCCATCTCTCAAAATTCTACTGTGAAGTACTGTAAAGGACAGGTCTCCTATATGGCACTGTAGCTTCACGAAATAGTGCCAAAGACATTCATATGGGGGTGTCATTTTACTCAGCAGATGTAACTGAACACAAAATAAAACTTTGTACAGGAATAGCACACACCAACTTTACAAAATATACACGAGAATTTCTCTGTTATAAGTTTGTGTGCCAAAAACCAAAAAAAACACAATTTTACTCCAATATTTAGCAGAGGTTGGCGGTGAAATGGCTACGTAGAAAGTGTCAAAACAACCTTAGGTAAATAGCCCGTGATGTCTACTTTATATAAATATATACTTTTGTGTGGCAATTTTGTTTTATTTTATGGCTACTAAGCTTACAAGACAAACATACCAAATTCTAAAATCGCTCCACATTAAAAGTCTATTTTACTCCTTGTGCTTTGTGACCTGTAACTACCAAAAAAAAACTTAAAATCCCAGACACATTATATATTCTGTAAATCAAAACAACTAAATGAATTTATTTTTAATAACTTTTTTTAACCTGCACTAATTATGCACACATTGTTATTGCAAAAACTGTTTAAAAAAAAGACAAAATTTTCACTTTATTTACATTTTTCTGTATTTTTTTATAACAAATAAGCATTTATATATATATGTGTGTTACATCAAATTAAAGCCCTTTCTGTCCTTTGAAAAACGATGTATAATATGTGTTGGTGCAACAAATTAGTAAAATGCAAATTGCAGTTGAACGCAAACAGCAAAAAATGAAAAAAATGCCGTTGTCATTAAGTGAAAGACAAGCTTTTGAAGCTCTGTCCTTAAGGGGATAAACCTATAAAGTGTTTTGAAACTTACTGGCTTGGTCTCCTATATGGCACTGTAGCTTCACGAAATAGTGCCAAAGACATTCATTGGGGGTGTCTTTTTACTCAAAAGACTTAGCTGAGCATAATTTGGGAGGTTTGAACTTAGTGGCACATATGAAATATACAAAACGCCCAGCAAAAATGCAATCCGTATGTAAAAAATGCACAAAATAATTTTTTTACCACATACTTTGGCATATATTGGTGAAAAAATGGGGGTATGTTAAGGCACAATATGCACCTTATGAGATACCCTGGAGTGTCTACTTTTACAAATGGTAGGCCTTTGTGGGTTTTTTTTGAACAGTCAAACTGTTATAATACCCCAAATGGAAGCTAAGGCTCATTAATACATCTCTCAAAATTCTACTGTGAGTACTGTAAAGGACAGGTCTCCTATATGGCACTGTAGCTTCACGAAATAGTGCCAAAGACATTCATATGGGGTGTCATTTTACTCAGCAGATGTAACTGAACACAAAATAAAACTTTGTACAGGAATAGCACACACCAACTTTACAAAATATACACGAGAATTTCTCTGTTATAAGTTTGTGTGCCAAAAACCAAAAAAAAACACAATTTTACTCCAATATTTAGCAGAGGTTGGCGGTGAAATGGCTACGTAGAAAGTGTCAAAACAACCTTAGGTAAATAGCCTATGATGTCTACTTTATATAAATATATACTTTTGTGTGGCAATTTTGTTTTCTTTTATGGCTATTAAGCTTACAAGACAAACATACCAAATTCTAAAATCGCTCCACATTAAAAGTCTATTTTACTCCTTGTGCTTTGTGACCTGTAACTACCAAAAAAAAACTTAAAATCCCAGACACATTATATATTCTGTAAATCAAAACAACTAAATGAATTTATTTTTAATAACTTTTTTTAACCTGCACTAATTATGCACACATTGTTATTGCAAAAACTGTTTAAAAAAAAGACAAAATTTTCACTTTATTTACATTTTTCTGTATTTTTTTATAACAAATAAGCATTTATATATATATGTGTGTTACATCAAATTAAAGCCCTTTCTGTCCTTTGAAAAACGATGTATAATATGTGTTGGTGCAACAAATTAGTAAAATGCAAATTGCAGTTGAACGCAAACAGCAAAAAATGAAAAAAATGCCGTTGTCATTAAGTGAAAGACAAGCTTTTGAAGCTCTGTCCTTAAGGGGATAAACCTATAAAGTGTTTTGAAACTTACTGTGCATAATAATTTGGAACAGTGCATTGTAAGTTCTTTATGTTTAAAAAAAATACTGTTATCATTAGGAGGTTTGTTCAATAAAATATGAATTGTACTCTTAATAGTTGATAACATGAGAATTATGCTGACTGTTATTTACATCAAATATTTAGGTAAATGAGAAAAATATGATTTGCATTA